TCCTGAAGATTGGAGCCAAGCTCCCCGAAGACTTGAAGGCTGGCATCACCAAAGCCCTCCGCGCCTACTCCATTGTTTTTGCATGGGGGCCGGAGGATATGCCGGGAATTGACCGAAGGGTCATCACCCACCGCCTGGCGGTGGACCCTTCGGCCAAACCAGTACAACAGCGGAGAAGACCCCTCTCGGCCGAGAGAAGGGAGTTCGTGAAGAAGGAGGTAGCCATGCTCCTCTCCATCAAACATATCAAGGAGGTGAAATACCCCTCTTGGTTAGCAAATGTAGTCCTTGCACAGAAGCCTCCTACCTTCCGCATGTGCGTGGACTACACTGATCTGAATAAGGCGTGCCCTATGGACCCCTTCCCTCTGCCAAACATTGATCAACTGGTGGATGAGACCGCGGGATGCGAAATCATGTCCTTCCTCGACGCATTCCGCGGGTATCATCAAATCTATATGCATGAAGAAGACGCTGAAAAAACTGCCTTCATGACACCCGAAGGCATCTTCTGCTACCTCGTGATGGCCTTCGGCCTCAAGAATTCAGGCGCCACCTACACCCGAATGGTGGCCAGGGTCTTTCAAGCTGTCTTGGGGCGCACTATGGAGGCCTATGTTGACGATATGATTGTCAAGAGCAAGAAGGCCGGCACTCACGCCGAGGACCTCCAGGAAATCTTCGCCATCATGCAAAAATTCAACCTCCGATTGAATCCAAAGAAATGCACCTTCGGCGTACAAGGTGGAAAATTCTTGGGCTATATGGTAAGCCGAAGGGGTATCGAGGCCAACCCCGAGAAAATTCAGGCCATCATCAATATGGAGCCTCCGCGCAACGTCAAAGAAGTTCAACGGTTGACGGGTCGCCTGGCGGCCCTCAACCGATTCCTCTCTAAGTCAGCCGAGAGGGCCCTCCCATTCTTCCAAATCATGAGGAAGACAGCTGGCTTCCAATGGACATCTGAGTGTCAAGAGGCCTTCGACGAACTTAAGAAGTACCTCTCTTCTCCCCCGGTGCTCTCCAAACCGAAGGTGGGGGAGACCTTATACTTGTATCTCGGTGTTGGCCCTGCGGCAATCAGCTCAGTACTAATCCGAGAGGAAGACGGCATCCAACACGCCATCTTCTACGTCAGCAAAACCCTCCGGGAGGCCGAACTCAGGTATTCTCCCGTCGAGAAGACGGTGCTAGCCATCGTTTGGACCGTCAAGAAGCTTGGCCACTACTTTCAAGCTCATCCGGTCCAAGTGCTCACTCATCAACCCCTCGGCGCCCTCATGAGGAGTCCCACTAGCTCCTCTCGGATGGTGAAATGGGCCATCTTCCTCAGCCAATACAACATAGATATCCGTCCGAGGCCTGCCATCAAGGGCCAAGCCCTGGCAGACTTCGTAACGGAATGCACCGCAAGATCAACGGTGGATGAGGAGCCTTCGGCACCCCTCGATGAGTGGTGGACCCTCTATACCGATGGCTCCTCGGCTACCAAAGCATGCGGAGGGGGAGTAGTTCTCATCACACCCGAGGGCTTCCGCGCCTATTACGCCATCCGATTCTCCTTCAAAGTCTCCAACAACGAAGCCGAGTATGAGGCCCTGCTCTGTGGCCTTCGGCTGGCCGCAAATCTGAAGGCCAAACAAGTCCACGTCAAGTGCGACTCCAAGCTAGTCGTAGGCCAACTCTCCGGCGAATATGAGGCCAAGGAAGGAAGGATGAAGCAATACAAGGAAGCAGCCAAAGAATTGCTTAAGGTATTTGAGGCACATTCCCTCACCCAAATACCGAGGGCTCAAAACTCTGAGGCCGACATTCTATCCAAGCTCTCGGATGAATCCCCCGAGCACCTTTCTAAAATTGCAAGAATTGAGGAACTCAGCCTCTCAAGCATCCACGCGAGCCCCGTCATGGACATCCACCTAAGGCCGGAGGACTGGATCTCTGACATCATCGCCTTCATCACCACAGGGCAACTGCCCCAAGACGAAGCCCGCGCCAAGTTAGCAAAGCTGAGGGCTCCAAGCTACACCATCGAAAACGGGAGGCTTTACAAGAGATCTTACAACGGCACCCTCCTTCGGTGCCTTCATCAAGATGAGGCCGAAGTCGCCATGGAGGAAGTGCACAGTGGCACTTGCTCAGCTCACCAGGGACCTTTCTCCATGTCCCGAAGGCTCATAGTTCAAGGCTACTTCTGGCCCACGATGGCTAGAGATTGTGCTGATCTAGCCCGGAGGTGCACCGCTTGCCAACACTTTCAAAAAGCCCCCGGCAGACCAGCGGTTAACTATGCCCCCATCAGCACCGCTATACCCTTCTCCAGATGGGGGATTGACTTAGTAGGCCCTCTGCCGAGGGGTACCTCCAACAACAGGTACATCATTGTGGCCATTGACTACTTCACCAAATGGGTGGAGGCGGAGCCCCTCGCCAGCATCACGGAGGCCCGGTGCCGTCACTTTGTCCTCAAGAACATTCTCACAAGGTTTGGCGTCCCCCAACAAATCATCTCCGACAACGGGACTCAGTTCGAGGCAGCCCCCTTCTGCGCCCTCCTTGAAGCTTGGGGCATCAAGCACACATTCTCTTCCGTTGCCTACCCTCAGGGCAACGGGCAAGTAGAGAACGCCAACCGAACCCTACTTGAAGGGTTGAAGAAAAAGCTGGAAGCCGAAGGGGGAGGCTGGGTAGAAGAGCTACACAACATCTTGTGGGCCTACCGTACCACCCCTCGGCGTGCAACAGGCGAAACACCCTTCTCCCTATGCTATGGCTTTGAGGCTAAGGCTCCAACAGAAGTTACCCTTCCTACCCGAAGGGTGGAACAATATGAGCCCGAGGCCAACGACGCAAACATGGCCCTCGACCTTCATCTCATCTCGGAACACCGAGAGCAAGCTTTCCTCAGGGCCGAAAACTATAGAAGACAAGTCAAAGGATACATCGACGCCAAGGTCCGCTCCCGGGAATTTCAGGTGGGTGACTACGTCCTCCGACGAAGGGAGGCCAGTCTACCCACCGAAGGAGGGAAGATGGCGCCCAAGTTTGAAGGCCCTTACATTGTCTCAGCCATCATCAAACCGGGAACATACAAATTAAAACGTCCTAATGGGACAGAGATTCCTAGACATTGGAATGTGCACCACCTGGTAAAGTTTTATCAATGAGTGGCCAAGCCCTCATCCTCAGTAAGTGTAAATATCAATGGCCCAAGGCCCCATCTGTTTTTGAAGAATAATCAAAAGGCCAAGCCTTCATCACCTACATACTGTACAAGCGGCCCAAGGCCCCCTTCTCTCCTACACATGAGTGGCCAAGCCCTCATCTCTCCAGCTGAAAAGGCCCAAGGCCTCCCCCTCTGATGAGGGGGGAACAACAATTTAGGTACCAAGTACCAAGTGTATGGGTCACCCCCATCACTCTTTGAAGACACCAAGTGTTTTCTCACTAAGCCGTACCCCACGAGGACGCAACCATGCATACATTATGCATACTTTTACATACTCTCTTAAAAAAAAAAAAAAAAAAAAAAAAAAGAAACCGGGGGGTACAACACCCCTCGGCTCCGGCTGGTACCAAGTGCCCCCGGCTATTTGTGTTCCACACGCAAATAAAACCCTTCCCAGGAACGCTTTCCGCGCTATCCCCCAAGGGGAGGCAGGCAACGGACCATGTCCCGGGCCCAGGATTCGACTTCCACAAACGAAACGCTCCCCGCGCTATCCCCCAAGGGGAAGCAGGCAACAGACCATGTCTCGGGCTGAGGGGACGACTTTCAAAACCGAGGCGCTTTCCGTGCTATCTCCCAAGGGGAAGCAGGCAACAGACGATGTCTCGGGCCGAGGAAACGACCCTCAAACCCTTCGGGATATCGGAAGGTCATTCCCGAAGGGGGAGCCAACGGTTTGTTCCGTTGTCTCCCATATAGGCCAAGCCTTTCCTAGAAACCAAGTTTCTAGATGCCTCTCCTACACCATCTAAAAAAAAAAAAAAAAAAAAAAAAAAAAAGAGAGATGTGTAGGGGGGAAGGGACTCCCCGAATACTATTCTCCTTGGAGGCTCGACACTTCGGATATATATTCCCGAAGGCTCCTACAAAGGCACAAGAGAATCTCTCAACATCGAGTCATCTGGCTACAAAGCCGAAAGCTTCACTACATGAAGCCTCGGAGTACAAGAATTCCACCGGAGGCCCAAAAAAGAGGCTCACTAGCAGAACCTCACTAAGTCTATATGTGCACAAACCGGAGGCCTCAGGCCGAAGGCAGAATGTCACCAGGCTCATTCAAGGATGGGAAAATTTCTAAGTCCACGTATTGGTATCCTTAGGGAAACACTCATCGAACCGGGGGGCTACTCACAAGATCTGTTGGAAACACATCTCAGAATTTCACCAAGTCCATAATCTCGAACCCCTCGGCAACCATATGTACCGGGGGCTCAGAGCAGTTCCCATACCGGAAGGTTCACTACAACTACTATTGGAATATTGTGGAAATTTGACTAAGTCCACGATTGGAGACCCTTCAGGAGAGAACTGGGATGCCCTCTTCACTTACAGGGTTGCGGCCGATGGCCCCCCGAACTAATTGGCAGTGACCTAAAGCTACACTGCTAATTCATTTTATCCCTCGGTCCCGATGCTGCAACCCGAGAGCAATTCCAATACCTCACCACCGAAGGCATACGTTGGGATCTTACTTAAGGAACTTTCCAAGCCCCCGGTGAATCTACTCTACATCCGAAGGGTTCCGATCAGGTTTTACTTGGAAATTTTCTAAGTCCACAACCACAAACCCCCGGTGATTCTACTCTACGCCCGAAGGGTTCTGATCAGGTTTTACTTAGAAAGTTTTCTGAGTCCGTAGCTTTTGGGGAATATGGCGAAGGTTTTCACTTAGAAAAATTTCCTGAGTCCACAACTACAAGCCTCCGGCGAACCTGTACTGCAACCGAAGGCTTGTTGTCAAGGTTACTACTTAGAAAACTTTCTAAGTCCACTAAACCTTGGCCCTCGAACAAACATATGGAGAAAGGAAAGAAACATACACTCATGCACAAAAGAGAAGTATATAAAGGGAATGAAGCTGAAGGAAACAAAACATGGACATACATTCATCCCGAAGGCGGAACATTCATCATCAAAAGATTCGAGAGTATGGAGAATATTTTTACAACGCACGGCCGAGGCCGGAAACTGCTAGACTATTACAAGAAAAATTATTCTAAGTATCAGACGTTTTGGCCCCTTCCTCGGCAATCTTGGAAGTGGCGCCATCACCAGCCTCTTCGTCGTCCGCTCCGCATTCCTGCAACAGCAAGGAGTCACGAAGGATGGGCCTCTCCATGCCTTCGGGCAGGGGAACTCTGACATCCGGCTGGAGCGGGGGCAAGCCGAATGCGTCGGGTTTGAAGTCCTTCAAGTCGACCCCTTGATGCGCGGCAAGCTTTCGGTAGATCAGGCGTTGGGTGAAGAACTCCCCCCCTTGCCAATATTCGTTGCCCTTCAGCGCCAGCCATTCAGCGCCGGGGCCTTTGACCCACTCGTCGACTTCCGCCCCCACGACCGCAGACCTCCATGCCTTCTGGTCGTCTGCTCTCCACCCTTCGGAGACAAAGGAGGCGACGGCATCTTCTCTGGCCTTAGAGACAGCCTCGGCTTTAGCATTCTCGGCCTCCTCGGCCGCCTTCTTAGCAGCCTCAGCTGCAACCTTCTCCGCATCAGATTTGGCCTCGGCCTTGGCATCCTCAAGCTTTTTTGCCGCGCCCTCCCTTTCAAGCCGGAGGGTGTCCCTAGCATCAGCCAACTGCTTCTTGGCCTCAGTAAGCTCTTCGGCCAGCTTCTTCATGCCCTCATCAGCCTGGCCTTTCGCGATTCTTAAAGCCTCCACCCTTCGGGCTTGTTCGCTGAATCCGAGGGCCGCCTGCAAAAGGATAACAAACAGGGAATCAGGAAGGTTTAGCAAGCCTAAAAGCATGTGAATGAGGAAAACAATCAAGTAAACGGAAGACTCACCATGGTGCTGTAGCTGGCTATCTTATAGTCGAGGACGTCATCCTCGAGGCGAGATAGCACCAGTCTATCCTTCGGTGACATCACCCCCCTCATAAATTCAATGGGGTTGAGGGTGGAGTGCATTACCGCTGTCCCCTTCTGGATGGGGAAATGGATGACTTCCTTTTCCCGAAGGTCCTCGTCAATATGAGCTGGGGGAGAGCGAGGAGGGGTGACCACCGGGGCCTGCTCATCAATGATCACAAGGGGGGCCCCCACTTTCTCGGCGCCCCCCTTCTTCTGCCTCTTCTCCGGAAGCGCAGCGCCCTTCCCGGTTCTTCTCTTTTTCTGCCCCTCGGCAGCGGAACCTCCGGCGTCAGAGCCGACGACATCTTCGGCAGCAGCGGACGCCTTCTTAGAAGACCCCTCGTCCACTGGGGCTTTGATAGTATCAGCCTTCGGAAAGAACTCGTCGACAGGCTTCTGGGTAGAGGGCTTCCCCTCTTTCTTCTTCTGCTCCTTCTCGAGCTTGTTCCTCAGCATGGTGATTGCCTTTAAATCCATGGCGGGTCCTGCAAAATACACATAAATTAGATTCACTGCATGACAAGGAAATGCGCTAAGTACAAAAAAGGAAAAACGAGCCCTCGGCAAACAACCTCCGGCGCTCTGAGGGACCATGTCAATCAAGGGGTAGTTCTCGTCTTTTTCCCCAAAACGCCGGTAGCGCTTGAAGCCCAATTTATACAGCTCATCCGGGAGGGTGGCACTCTTGATAGTAATCTGCTTGTCCGACCCCTCGGGCTTGGCTGACAATTTCTTCCCGGCTTTTTGAAGGGCAGCGCTCCCCACTTTTAAATGCCTCCGGAAACGATCTTTGAGGGGCTCCGCGAAGGGGTTCACGGCCATCCGGACATAGCAGAATTTGTCCTTCCACCCCTTGTGCGAGGACGGGACCTCGGAGAACAACCTCCACTCCGGGACCTGCTGCAGGTTGGCAAAGCCCTCAGCATGGGTATGCCCCCCTCGGCAGAGGTTGAAGCACATAAAGAACAGGTCCAACGATGGGTCGATCTCTCGAGAACGGCAAAGGGATAGGAAGCCAGCAATATATGAGTGGCTGTTGGGAGTGAGTTGGCAAGGGGCCAGCTTCACGAACCTCAGATACTCTACCAAGAATGGATGAAGGGGGAATCGGAGCCCCAGGTCCAAGGATAGCAGATGGACCGCAAAACAGCCTTCGGGAGCCTGGGAAAGCACATCATCAGGCTTCGGCTCTACAACACGCCCCTCGGGGCCGACAAGGAACTGGGCCGTCAGATACTCCGATTGGGTGGCCCTCGATTTCAGAGACAGGGCTGCGACATTCAAATAAGAATAGCCCTCGGGGATGTCGACAGGTTTTCCCACATCAACCGCCGCCTCCTTCTTCTTCTTCGGAGCAGCCTTCGTCTTTGTCTTCCTCTTCCCGTGGGCCACGCTGATAGGTTCCACATCCAGGGCCCGAGAAGTACTCGCTCCGCCAGCACCGCGGGAAGGCAGCGCGGCCACCGTTACCTCCTGCCGCTCTTTCTCCTCTTCCTCTTCAGCCACTTGAAGAGCGAGGGCCATCTCCTCGTCTTCCACTATCTGCTCGAAATCCTCCGCTTCCATCTCCACCCGGAGGCTACTCTGTACCTCCTCAGCCACGGCAAGATCGTTGTCCATCGACGGCTGCTCACTCGAGGACTCCACATCCGAGTAGCTCTCCTTCTGCACCGACGGCTCCCTCGAGATATCTTGGGAATCGCTTTGTGAGGACATAATTCCGGAGGAAGGATAGGAGTTTGGTAGAGAGAGGCTACCTAAATGTTCTAGCCGAGGGCTCCTAAGACCTCTAACACAAGATCTAAGGGAGAAAAGCAAAGTATGCTAGGAAAGCGGAGAACAAGGAAGAACTGACCTCAAGGAATCGAATTCGATCGAAGGTGATTGCTTATCTCTCTAGAAAATTGGCCAGAGCTTCGCTAGAACAATGAAACGCACAAGGAAAATGGCACAGAGCTTTGGAGTATTTATAGGCAACTGGGCCTCGAAAACTGGGCCTCGACTCGAAAGCCCATCATTACAGGCCGCCGGTTCAACCAATGAGTGGCGCCCGCCCACTTTCGGCCATCTAGAGCGCGCCACGTGGCTCCCCCCTCCAACGGCTCTATTCCAACGGCTCCATTTGGGAAACTTGATGCGCTCCCCGCCTCACAACTTCCGGCCACGACAAACAACAGCCCTCGGCGATCAATCATCATCAGGTCCGATAAAATGAATGCCTCCGGCTATCACGCGTTATAACCTTCGGGTTATCAGTACCGCCCTCATGAATTGGGTCATCACCGACATGAGCCTCCGGCTTACCAGTGCTGCATTACCCAGCCATTGGAACCCCTCGGGGAACTCCTCAGCACAAACATTAAACTCCTTCAGCCCGAACTCGCCTTCGGCCTAAAGGAGTGGGGGACTGGGATACACCCCTCGGGGATCATACACAACAAAAATTTCTTCATGCAACAAGTTACAATTGACGCATACGGCCTTCGGCAGTGGCGGAATATCACAAGTTTTCCACGAGCCACTTGCGGAAATGAAGCAGCCCTCATCACAACACATACGGATATTATTTACGCCTCCCTCAGAAAACCCCCGACATGTGAGGGACTGAGGAGAGGCTCCGGCATTCATACAAGAGTTATACTTCCCTCAGAAAACCCTCGGCATTTGAGGGATTGAGGGAAGCCTTCGGCAATCAGCAGAAGGCAAGTTCTCAAACAAAGGCACCCAGACAGGCGATGAAGCCCCCGGAAGAATCAACACATCTACTCCTTTTCCCTCAAGTACCTTTCGGCAAAAGGAGTGAGGGACTCCTGATGGAGTATATGGCCCAGGAACCCCCGGCCCATAGACTCCTACTTCTTCTACACAAGTCCATTGAACTCAGGGAACAACTCGGGCCCAAGTACAACGGCCCAAGCCTCAGAGTAGCCCAGAATGCACACTGAGATGCCTTCGGCCTCCTTGGCCGAGGGACCCAAAACTCACAGGATAGCCTTCTCTGGCATAGGAAGCTACTGGGAGAAAACGGCGAAAAACATAAGCCTTCGGCATTGCCAAGCCCTCGGCATCACAGCCTTCGGTCACAAGAGGCCTTCGGCTACTAGAGTCCTTCGGCTTCACAGGGGTCCTGGTCGCATGGAGCCCTCGGCTACATCGGGAGCCTTCGGCTAAACGTGCTCAATCATCAAAGATTCCTTTTGGAGACAGCCAACCACCGCATTTAATGCCACGTCACATCCGCCAACCGCATTCAATGCGGTGAACGTACCTCTGCCGGTGCCACCCGGCTGATGTGACCCTTCGGCCGTTGGATTACTGACACGTGTCCTCCCATCGCATTTATTGCTGCTATAAATAGCAGCCCATTTCTCCTTGTAATCTACACGACCTACATCTCAACTCCACGCTGAGTTCATTTAATAAATCGACTCTCTCTCCTCCTATTTTGCTCTGACTTCTCTCTAATTATTCCTGCAATAACCCCTCGGATAAGATACCCCCCGGGTAGACCGTCCATCACATAGCTTTTTTACAAAAACAATACCTACTAATGTTTTTTTCATTCATATTACTTATTTAGTTCTAGATTAGGAAACATATTTCTAACTTTCTAAATTTGCCCTTCAGGCCAAAAAACTTCCTGTAAGGAATAAATGTAATTAGATTTTGATGATGCTATAGGATTAGAAAGTCAGAGTACCCCTAAATTAGATTTTATGTATTAGAATTTTCAATTGTAAGTATTAGTGTAGTCAACGATCAGAGTTGCTCTATTTTGGATCAGATCAGAAGTGCATCAGAACTGCTCGACCAGACTTGCTCTATGAGAACTGCTCCATCAGAGTTCTCTTACCAGAAGTCCATCAGAGGTACATCATGAGAGTTGCTGATAAGCCTGGACATCTGATAACCAATGAGAGTTACAGATCAGAGGTACTCATCAGCGGACCTATCAGAGTCAGAGTTAGAGTTCAGTCAGAGATCAGAAAGCCATCAGAACTCAACTCATCAGAAAGCCATCAGAACTCAACTCATCAGTAAGCCATCAGAATCCAACACATCAGAAGAGCCTGATCAGAGCCCGACTAACACTTAGAAAAATTTTCAAGCAACATCCAACAGCTATGAATTCAACGAAAAAAAAAAACATCCAACGGCTACAAGACTGTGCATGAAAGGAAAGCATTTAATGCACATTAAATGAGCCTGATACGCTGAAGGATTGATTGCAAATGATTGACCAAAGAATCCGGGAAGATATTTTATAAAAATAGAAACCTTCCAAAAACGGCGGTCAAGTCAACTGTACGCGCATTTAATGCAGTTGTCTCCTCCTCCAACGGGCAGACAACCTCAGTATATAAGCTACACACCGAAGAACAGAAATACAACTTTGCTATAACATTTGCTCATCATCATTCAAGCTCTCTTGAGATTCAAATTCCACAACCTTCAACAAGACAAGCTTACGTTGGGAAGATTAAAACTCCAAATCTCTCATCCCCAACAAACAAGCAAGCAAAGTTCATCCTGTTCCTCAACACTTCAAGAACTTCATCAAACATCATTTATAACGAAGCAAGTTGGAGGAAAAACTCTGTTTTTCAAAAGGATCTTCTGAAAAGAAGGGCGTCCAAGTAACTGCAGTAGTGAAGTGGTGATACTTCCGGGAAGCTGAGTGAAAGGATCAGCCATCAGGACGTGGAATTGCATCCTGGGTGGCATCTAGGCTTGAAGAAGACGAGGAGTGCTTCTTAAGTGCTAGGAATTAGCTTTGTAACTGATCTACTTCAAAGCTAGTGGAACAGTGGACTAGAGGAACGAGTTGTTCCTTGAACCACTATAAAATATCCGGTGTCATTTACTTTACTGCAATTTATATTTCTGCACTTAGGATATTAACTGATTAACTCTAAGACTTGGAATCTGTGTTCAGCAGATCTTGTTTTCAGAGTTATCAGAAAGGCATTTGCCTTAGTATTTTTCTGAGGCTACCCGGACAGATCAGAATCCGCTGCCAAGGCCAGTTCTGATATCAGAACCAGCCTTTCTCTGTCATCAGAATCAGACCTTCTCTGATAAGTCACTTCGGACTTAGAGAAATTTTGAAAAACCAACCAGTCTATTCACCCCCCCCCCCTCTAGACTGGTTACCATATTAAACGGGACCAACAAGTGGTATCAGAGCCTCCTTGTTCTTGTAATCTTTTAGGTTGCTCTCTGAACAAAAGATCCACTTGTTCTTAGCCTCTCCTTATTTATTATTATGGATAATTCTCTTGCAAAGCACCTCATGTTTTCAGATCAGAAATATGATGACTGGAAGATTCGGATGAAAGCTCATCTCTGTGCCCTGCATGATGAAATGTGGGAAGTCCTTGAAGAAGGACCCTTCACCAAATTTATGAAGGTGAATACTGAGCATACTATTGACAGGACTCAGCCTGAGATGATTGAGAAAGCCAGATCAGAATGGACAAAGGAAGAGAGGAGACAGTACAATCTTGACAATATTGCCAAAGATATCCTCTACAAAGCCATTGACAACAGATACTTCAACAGAATCAAGAAGTGTCGAACTGCCAAAGAAATATGGGACAAACTTGATCTCATAGGAGCAGGTGATGAACAAGAGAGAGACAACAAACTGACAATAGCTATGAAGAAGTTTGATGACTTCAAACTTCTACCTGAGGAATGCATAGCTGAGATGCATGCCAGACTTCTGATTCTTACCAGTGAGATATCCGAGCTTGGAAAGGAGCTCACAGTTAAAGAAGTCAACCTGAAGATTCTCAGAGGACTGCCCCCAGTCTGGAAGATGAAGGTTATTGCTGTCCAAGAAAGCAAGGACATCAAAACCTATCCCACAGAGAAACTGATATCTGATCTCAAAGCTTATGAGTTTGAGATGCATGATGAGAAAGAAGAAGTGCCAGATGAGAGAACCACAACTGCTCTTACTGCCAGCACTTCTAAGGCAACAAACTTTGATCCCTCAACTCTTCTATCTGATGAATATATGGCTGCCTTTGCCAGAAAATTCAGAAAATTCATGAAGAAAGATGAAAGGAGTCCATCTTCCACCAGAAGACCACATCAGAAGACCAAGTCTTCTGAAAACAATGGAGAGTACCTCTGCTACAATTGCAGACAGCCTGGTCACTTCAAGGCTAACTGCCCCTTCCCCAGAGTGTCCAAGAAGCAAGGACACGAAGAAGAAAAGAAGCCTGAAGATCAACACAGAAGAAGAAGAGCATTCGTCTCAGAGCAAGCTGAGAGAGATCCACTCTCTGAATCAGAGTCCAGTTCAGACTCTGACTCTGATGAAGCTTTCTGCTGCTTGGATGCAGAAACTGAAGATCTTTGCCTCATGGCACAATCAGATGATGAGGTACGTTCTACAGCTAACTCTATTTCCTCTTCGGTAGGCACAGCCTTAAATGATGATCCAATGTCATCATTTTGGGAAGAATTCCAGACTATCCAAGCCACTCATTCTTTTGTTAAAGATGAGAACAGTAGGCTGAAAGTTGATATCTCTGATCTAAGGAAAGAGACTGAGTGTAAACTTAATCTCTTAACTGAGGAAAGAGATAGACTGAAAGCTGAAAATGAGTCTCTTCTGAAAAGAATAAGAGACATTGAGGAACTTGAAAGTAAATATAATAGTCTTCTGAAGATGCAATCTTCCATGAAGAATATTGGTGACTCTCATAACTTCACCTCTGGTCTTGGATATGTTGAACCAGAGTCTGGTGAGCCTTCTGTAAGGCCTAGCACCAAAGTTGCTAAGGTTAAAAAGGTCATAGTGCCACAGACTCTGAGCCCCAATTGTCATGCTAGTACTTCTGGTACTAAAATTGTTCATGAGAAGGTCATACCAGAGAAACAAACTCTAAAGGCCAAACCAAAACACAGCTTGAAAACTAATGAACCTGGCAGAAACTCTAACAAAAGGAAAAGTTTTCAGAACAATAATAATCAAAGGCCTAACCCTATCAGACGATCTCATGACAATGGTATCAGAAACTGCTATCAGAAAGGCAGATATCAAGAGAAGATTAACTATAGGCAGAAGAGGTTGTCTGGTCAACCCCAGAAGCCTAAAGTTAAGCGCTCCTCTGATCTTGATAGCATATGGGACTTCTTTCCAACAAAGAAGGCTATGCAGAAGTATGCAAACAGAAAGCATGATCCTCACAAGCATCTGCCCAAAGTGAATCATACATCTGTTTACTACGACTACCAGGTGGACAATGGGTACCATCCACCAAGGTTTCAGCTGATGAGACCAAAATGGTACCAACTACCGAGACTGCATTACCCCCCAGGACCCAACATTGCTTGGGTACCTAAATCTTCCTTTTAATCTTGCAGGAACTGTGTGCTGGAGCCATCTCAGAAAAAGAATGGTATATTGACAGTGGATGCTCCAGACACATGACAGGTGACCAGAGTTGCCTATCAGAGTTCCAGAAAATCAATGGACCCAGAGTCACTTTCGGTGGAAATGACAAGGAAGGGCAAACAAAAGGAAGAGGGAAGCTGATCAAGAACCAGATAATCATTGAAGA